AAAACCACTGCTCAACACAATTTTCAAATATTCTTCTTCTTGTCCTTATCTCACTATATGTGGTCGGCGTAGCATGTCCAAATTTTTCCATTCAGACCTAACATTTCGCACTCACACCCTCCCTTATCTTGCATATCCACTTATACACAGTCCACCAAGTCTTTTCAGGCCGCCTTATTCACATGTCAACTGTAAAACCAAATACGGCCACAACAGTGAAGAAAAGCATTCTAAACATAAGTATCTGTTAATTTTTATCCTGGGAAAACAAAACGTATTAAAACCGCTTTTGTAGCATCGACAAACGAAATACATCACTCAAGCACATATCGACGCTTGAAAGGCAAACGTGATTAAGCGACAATAACTGCTTTGTACATAAATGATAGGCAATGACCATATTCGATGCGCAAAAAAAATACATTTCTAGGTCTATTAAAATCATTTCAATCCTACAGCTACTATCTAGATTCTACTACAGTTAGATTCGTTAAAAGAAATTTTGTTTTCAGGTATTTCAACTTTAAATTAGTCTACTGTAAAGTTCACGCATTGTCGCTTAGTCACGTTTGCCTTTCAAGCGTCGATATGTATATCATTAACAAAGTTAATGTTGCGAACTTATTAACAACGGAACTGTAGCGTACGATGAGAGAGACATATCACAGCATTCATGGTCCGGTAGTCATAACAAAGCCAGGTCAATGGAACGCCGACACAGATGACAGAATAAGCAAAACGATTTAAAATTCATTCGTGTTCCTGTCTTTGTGTTGGGACTATTTGAAGGTCTCAGCTCACCGGACGACGCGACGCGGCTGACGCCCACTGAATCGCGCCCTAATTGTAGATATGATGTATTATGTGCAATATATAAAATATAGGACATGTATAATGTAATACTTTATTGTATGACACATATACACACACAAACACACACGCACGCACGCACGCACGCACACACGCACGCAGGTACGCACGCAGGCACGCACGCATGCACGCACACACACACACACACACACACACACACACACGTACGTACTACATTCTTACAGATCCCTCTTCCTGGTTTACTTACTTTACCTGGTGACCTAGCACTGAACCACTGACTTTTATAACACAGGATTTCCTAGCATAAAAGTCAGGGAATATTGTTATTGTGTACCTCATAAAAAAGTCATTTATACTAATATACTAGTGTCATAAATTCTTGTATGTGTTTGTAATTTAAGAGGCTTGAATATTCCGCGCGGGTAGGTACCACCGCCCTGCCTATTTCTGCCGTGAAGCAGTGGTGCGTTTCGGTTTGAAGGGTCGGGCAGCCGTTGTAACTATACTTGAGACCTTTGAACTTGTATCTCAAGGTGGGTGGCGCATTTACGTTGTAGATGTCTATGGGCTCCAGTAACCACTTAACATCAGGTGGGCTGTGAGCTCGTCCACCCATCTAAACAACAAACAAAAAAAATTTATTATTATAATTTCGTGCCCTAATAAAGCACCAAAACAGCAGGTTCTTTATCCTAGTGAACGACAAATTAATTCGGTTACTGTGTCCCTGACCGTATAGCCGAGGGTCGTGACTTATTTTTCAATATCGTGCAGTATAATGAACATATGTTTGTCCTTTATTCCTTTGTTTAATATTTATAAATATGTGTGTATGTATTTAAATGTATATGTGGTATAGTACATGGAATTCTAGTTTAGGTTCAATTGACTGCGTGTAGTTTGTCCTAGGTTAAGGTTACTTATTATATAATTTTATTAATTAGAAACAAGTAATAATCCAATTTGAATTTGAAATGAGCCAACAGCGAAATGTTCCATAGGTAGGATAGAAAAAATTAAAGTCAAGAAAAATGTCATAAAGTTACTAAGTTTTGGAGTGGGTATCTCACCAACTATTATTGTAATATACACATTGTAATATAAATATATCTTCTTTTTATTAGTTCCAACTTTTCGAATACAGTTACAGTTTCAAGTCAATAACAGTTTTTATGGTGACTGATGACTAAGGTGTTTTTATCGACATAAAATATGTTTATACTATCGTGACAATATCGTCATGATCATACACATCATGTAGCTGCTATCTATCAAGTTGCTATCTAGCACTAATCTAAGGCCTCCCCCAAGGTTCGCCATAATAACCGGTTCCGCGCAGCCGGCGTCCAGCGGATTCCTGTGACCTTTAGCAGATCGTTGTGAACCAACTCGTAGGAGGTCTACCCACGCTGCATGTTCCGGTGCGCGATTACCACTTTAGAACTTTTCCGTTTCAACAGCCATCTGTTCTTCAAGCTATTTTCCCTACCCACTGTCCCTTCCATCATGCAATGCTATGAGCTATGTCAGTTAATGGGTTCTTCTGCGATTCTCCTCATTTCTAAGTCAATTTCGCAGGCAGGCTAACTTCGATCGTATCCCTCTAGTCATTCGTGAATACGAGTGTAGTGTAAAGAGTATTTCATTAGAAAAAAAGAAATGAAAAAAAACCTTTATAGAGGAATTTGAACACCGGCATAGTCACACCATCTTGCAATGCTATGAGCTATGTCAGTTAATGGGTTCTTCTGCGATTCTCCTCATTCCTAATTCAATTTCACAAGCAGGTTAACTCCAAGCATAGCCCTCTAGTCATTCGTGAATACGAATTTAGACGGTTACTGTGTAGTGTGTAGAGTCTTTCATTAGAAAAAAAAAACCGGCCTTTTTTTTTTAGTGAAATTTGAACACCCCCATAGTTACATCGCTCGAAACGAGTACACCGAGCGTCAAGTATCATTTAGACCAGCCTTTCTCAAAGTGGGCGATAACGCCCCCTTGTGGGCGCTGCCAGCCTAAAAGGGAGCGCTAAGAGACCCAGAAAAAAGGGGGAATTTTGTAAAGGTTTTGGTGGCGATTTGTAATTTCATCTAAGAGGACTCCTAGCCACCGACTGAGCTCTCGCTATAGCGGTTTTTAAGTAGGTGAAAAAATGTGGGCGCTACAAAATAAATTATTCTCAAAGTGGGCAGTAAATGAAATAAGTTTGGGAGCCCCTGATTTAGACCATACAGACTTCAGACTATTAACGTCATTACAACCGCAAAAGTATCACGTCACACTTCACCGAGGAAAACCGTAACCGAGTTAAACCAGATACCTACACAATTACCAATTATACAATAGAATGTAAACGAATTTAGAGCTGCTCCAGTTACCAATAAACAGCGTACAAATTGGACACGTATTTGACGGATGCGGGCATCCGTTTTGCATACAAAACATACATGAACCGTATCAGGAAGCCAGCGGATAGGATGTGAGATGTCAACAAAGTTAAAGCATTCAATGTATCGAGCGAAACGAGGAATGACCGGCGCTATGTGAAAATGTACCTCATGAATACTACACGGAATTTTGGACAAGCAATGTCGAAGCAATGAAAACACTTGTTCAAAGGCTTGGTTTTATTTTTATGAAACATGACGTCCTCTCTTACGGACGGTACATTGTTTCGTCAGAATTATTGAAACGCCTATTTTAGGAAGTGTTTTTTTTTATTGCCCTTGTGGACAGACGAACGCACGGCCCACCTGATGGTGAGTGGTTACCGTCGCCCATGGACTGCAGCAATGCCAGGGGCAGAGCCAAGCCGCTGCCTACCAAAGGTTTACGAAAACAAATAATGTTTATCTCGCATTAACCATCTTTAATTTATTTCGAATAATTTAGATTTTCTTCTTTTTTTAGGGTAGGATGTTATTTGTCGAAATAAATACAAGGATTCAGCGAACGATAAACTAAAATCGATTCTTTCCAAAACCGGGCTCTACTCAAAACTTATATTGGAATTTGAACCAATGGAATTTGAACAAGAATGAGCATGTATTTCAATTTTTTCTTCTTCTCAGTCGTTCACTCCTGGCGGAGTCGTCATGGTTACGTAAGTCTTAATGTTTGGTTGCGGCTTTTGAGAAACTTCTCCATCTTTCTCTATTTGTGGCGGTACGTGTACACTCAGTCACTCACTCATAACTTAACCAAGTCTGTCCACCTTGTGGATGATCGGCCGCGAGAGCGTTGACCGTCTACTCTTCCTTGAACCACTAAACGTTCCAATGAGCTTTCATTACGAATGATTATATTTCAAATAATCTTACGCAATAAACGTCCTAACTTGATATCAACATGAAAAAACATTCGCATCAACATCTGAAACAGCATCTTCTCATGTTGAGATTACTAGACTTAACACAGATTTAAAACACTATTGTATAATTTTTTTCGAGGACATAAACGGGGCTCGTTATCAAATAAAATATTACAATGTATCCTGTTGTTGACAAACAATGTATCGTTAACTACAAATCCAGTTAGTGTCACGCGTGGAGCACTTGCCATTTGAAATTGTAATTTGCGATTTATTATACATACGTACCTACATATTATTATGTACACACGGGACATGCTCTAGCAAAAATATCAGTTCCCTTCAATCCGATAAAAGTTATAAATTTTTTGATCTATTGAGAGTAGTGTAGTATATTAATACATTTTCTGATTGGAATAGGTGAAAGCTTAGCTTAGCAAGCGTGATTATGGGATTATTAACTTATTAGTATTATTATTATATTACTACTCTTATTATTTTTTATCATTAAAAAAACGACACAATTACACTCCTTTGTTAAACATTACCGCCGTCAAGATTTGTGGAATCCACGAAATATATCAACGGTGTTAAACTTTACTGCAATAATTGACTTGCGGGCCTTTACATTTCATAAACATGTCTCAAGTTTATCTTTATCGTACTGTACATACATCTATATACGAATATCTTTCCTAGGCGTGCTTTTTTCTAACAGGTAAAAAATGCACATTTGACCGTGACACAGATTTGCCACTAGAAAAACATACGCGTTCAGTACAACTCATGTTTCTATGAATTAATCAACTACAGAGTTCTGAGAAACGGACGTAATAAAATGAATGAATAGTTTACTGACCTTTTTTGGCATCGTAGGCGATTCGAACTCCTCATCTTCGCGACTAGACAGAGTCGAACACGACGAGCACGCGGAGTCCGCCGACAGAGACCTGGACCTCAACCAATTCACTTCTTCTTCTGTAGCACCCACTGCAACTCCATCCGAGTAGTCGCTGACAACGACACTGGGCGTCCTGACCGTACGGCCTCTTGTTTCACAGCCTTCGCTGCCTCTCCTGCCCAGCTCTACCACATGCGCCTCTACGAGAGTCCTCTCCCGTCTCGGCGACATGGCCTCCGGTGGAGGGGTAATATCGCGTGGATGCGAGTGCCTCCTAAGCCTAGTCTCGAGCTCAACGGCGGAATCGTCGCTTAGGTCTCGGCTGCGTCTTCTGACGGCAGCTCTGTCGTCGTCGTCCGATGAGGAGATGTCGTCGGACGGTGAGGGCGCGCGAGGGGGCCGCAAGTACTGCATCGGAGCGGGTTCGAAGCGACGCAAGAGCTCGGAGACACGTGGTTGCGCGTGTCGTTGGAAGCGGGTTGTCGGCGGCGCGCGCGCCACCGCACTGCCGCTCGGCCTCCGCGCTGTGGGCGACTGCGGCTCGCGAGCAACATCCGGCGTCATGCCGGCGCCCAGCTTCAAATAAAACAAGCTGTGGCTTAATGCCTTTTCACGTAACACTCTACGGAAGTCCTCCGTTGGGGGGTTTTCCAGTCGCGGCATCGTTATCTGGAAAACAACAGAAAGACCGTTATAAAATTCAAATCAGTGCCTACGTAAACATAAAAAAAAAAAAAAAAACGTCTCATATCATCTTATCTCATTTCATTTAATTTCATCCAAGTCGATCTCAAATTAATCATCTTCATTTTATTTCATTTCATTTCACTCCATATTATCATTTTTCATAAAATTAAGAATATAAATTAAAATAAGATATGACTAAAGGTCTTAGTTACCAGGTTATAAAATCCCTTTAAAAAAATTTATAACAGGCCTAACGATCATACTTTATAAACCAATAAGTACACACCTCCGTAAAATATAATCGGCTTCCAAATAAAAGGCTCTTGATAATTTTGTCACTATTTGCACATTTCAGCTCTTATCTGCAACATAGAAATAAATGACTTAACATGGTCGTAATTTACATGAGGAATTTGTTCGAAATATAATACTAGATATTATATAAATTACAGTAAATACGAAACATTTTATCTCAACACAGCGGAATAAATTTTTAAACGTTCTCACTTCGTCTTACTGGTACAGTCTAGGAATTCGGAGAAAAAAAAAAACAATGGCCTGATCGTAGTTAATATATTTAAAAAAGTGCAAATTAAATTCGGGAAAGTCCAAAAATACTAATGCCACCAGAAAACAACATTTGTTTGCACAGAAATGTTCTTACGTAGAATGATTAACGTAGACATTAATCATTTCATAACTTTTATTTAGTTAATCGCATTATATTCACTGCTTTTTTTTTTAATTATTATTATGCTCAGATGGGTGGAGGAGCTCACAGCCCACCTGGTGTTAAGTGGTTACTTGAGCCCACAGACATCTACAACGTAAATGCGCCACCCCGCTTGAGATATAAGTTCTAAGGTCTCAGTATAGTTACAACGGCTGTCCAACCCTTCAAACCGAAACGCATTACTGATTCACGGCAGAAATAGGCAGGGCGGTGATACCTACCCGTGCGGACTCACAAGAGGTCCTACCTCCAATAAAAAACACACAGTATAAAAATGTTTATAGAAACGCATTTAGAGACACTTTCAAATCGATATGACTTTACCACCAAATCGAACGGAATGCAGTTTCATAGCAGACAAGGTGCACGCAATGTACGAGTTATTATGTACATAGATGTGTACCCTGCTAAAAGCAAAAATACTAGATACCTAAATAAAAATCTATAGTTAGTCTCGCTAAAACTCAAGAACGGCTGGACCGATTTGTCTAATTTTGGTCTTGTCTAATTTGTGGAAGTCCAGAGAAGATTTAAAAGGTAGATAAATATGAAAATGCCCAGAATTAAATAAAAATAACAATTTTGTTTTCCCATTTGTCCCCCATCGGACGGATTCCTTTTGTTTGTTTTAAGTTTATTTTATACAAAAATTTAGGTCTTTTATTTATCGATTGAGGCACTACGAAGTCTGCCGGGTCAGCTAGTATTATATAAAATAAACATGATGAGAACTAGAACAGGCTTGTATTACTGAGCACAGAGATATCTATTCAGTAATACTCTCAAATTCAGCTCAATTTCGACCCACGCGGCTTTGTTATTAACATAGTCGCCGGTTCCCCATAACTCTTTTACTATTAAGTTACTTTTAATATCGATTTAAAGCTAGTAAACCTAAAATCCAAAAAAGTACTAAAGATTATGATGTGAACCCGGGCAGAGGAGGTTGTCCCGAGGCCCGAACCGCGCCCCCCTAAGGGGACGCGCGGACCCGACAGCAGGACTAAAAAATTAAAGACATACTTTTGGTTGCATATGGACAACCTCACAAATTTTTTTTATGAATGACTAGCTGATCCGGCAGACTTCGAAGTGCCTCAATTTATAATTAAAAGAGCTGAACTTTTGTATAAAATAAATTTAAAACTAACAAAAGGAATCCGTCCGACGGGGGGGATATCAAAGGAAAAACAAAATTGTTATTTTTATTTAACTCCGAGCATTTTCATATTTATCTACCTTTTAAACCTTCTCTGGACGTCCACAAGTAATTCAAGACCAAAATTAGTCAAATCGGTCCAGTCGTTCTCGAGTTTTAGCGAGACTAACAAACAGAAATTCATTTTTATAAATATAGATATATATAGATGAATTATGGTTGGCCCAGAGGGCTTTCCAGTTTCACCAGTACAGATGAGCGAGTACAGGCTCAGCCAGGAGTGGTGATTGCTAACAGCTGCCCGAGCGCCCCCAAAGGAGACCTAGCAACTCAAGAGCAACTGCTTCGTGAATGAATCTACTACCGGATCGGGATTGCGACCCGTTGAGAAGATCTGTCGAGAAACTCAGCGGGCTGATGCATGGATTGGATGGTTGCACACAAGCTCACAAACCAACCGATGTTAAATACTACTAGTGTAAAATTACTACTACATACTACTACTACTGCACATACTAGTATCGTATAACGGCACTCTACACTTATATAAACATGATTAACTGATCGTATCACTCGACACCGATTAAACTACTATTGAACCCGTAACTAACAGTTGATCGACTAAAGAAATACTAGAGTAGCACCGGCTAACGGCACTATAACAGGTTTACGATTACTTCTAACAACCGACACAGAAAAAAATAATTACACGCGCTGAGAAAACAGACTTTTGCTGAATAAACTTGAACATGATTGCGAGCAGTACGATTTACTTTTTAGCGCATTTAAACTTTTCTGGCATTAAATAATCGATTCGAATTCGGTCGCAACCTACGAATAAATAATTATTTATAAACAATTTATATACAAATTTATAAATAATTATTTATTCGTAGTTCGCAACTCAATATGATTAACATACGCGAGGGAACATAACAATTAACGGTAACGAAGTTTATTTGTATGTATTTTATAATTTTTTTTGTCCTTTTTATAAGGTCTCGGCTATATTCTGATTTTAAAATCAAATGGAATTTTTAAAAGTCTTTCGATTGGGTATTATGTATTATCTACTGTCGAGGATTACTTGTGTTTACTGGTGTAGCCTGCACTGCTTCCGCACTGTATGCTGTGTAAGATAAAACAAAAATCAGATGTCGCGTTTCCAATACCCCTTGCCACCGAACTTAAGGAAATGCTAATAATCAAAGAATTAATCAGAGTTTTACAATGCGGCGGACTATAAAAACAAATGAATAAATAAATAGTATCTTATAGCAGTAACTTTCCAATTTATAGAAACCTAAGTATTAAAAAAAACCGTAAAAAATTCATAGCCTTTTCAAATAACTAGTGGTCGCCCGGTAGTCGAAATTCGACTATAATTAATTTAAATTATAAGTTTGAACATTAATAAGGAACTATTGTCAAAGACTATCTTAGCCTTCTATAATAGCAAATTTCGCCGAGGTTACACTATAGATAAATAATATTGAAGACAAACAAAATCACAATATTCTGAATTTGACCTGACAGACTTTAACAATAAACAAAAGAGTATAATTACATGGTAGTATGCGTAATATATTATTTTTATTGATTTAATGTATTTTTATGTATAATTAAAAAAAAAATTAGCATTAATATTTTTCCTATCCTATTTACTCCTTCTCTATATTCTCTATGAGTGTGAGAAATTTCATACTCCTCCGTCCACGCAATTTTCGTAAAATGGGGTACAAAGTTTTTTTCTTCACGTATTAATATAAAGATTATGTGGTCTTTATTTTTTTAATTCTATCCCGTTCCGTACGTGCAAAAATTTTTACGACGTCACAAACTATATAACATTAAATTAGAATGTACCACATAACACATTATTGTGTTCTTAAATTTACCTACGATTCCTATTGATCTATGACTACTACGGGTACGTGTCGGGAATCTCTTATCGTGCGCACACTCGAGTTAGTTGTAAAATACACGGACGTGCGAAAATAATTTCCAGTTTTTTTTTGGATCTTCATAAAGCGATTAGAAAAATCATATTTAAAAAAAATCTTTGATAAATTTACTTTAGTTTAGTAAGTTAGTATTATTTCGGGCTTTATTAGAGTTTCATGAAAAAAACCTATCTTGCTTTAAAAACAAATATAATAGTTTAATATCTTTAACAAATTCTTTGTATGTTGTAGATTGATTTCTGAATCATCTCGTATATAAATCATCTTTAGATTTAAAATAATATTTGCTTTCTGGCACAATTATTGTGATGATAATAGTATGATACCTAACGAATTTGTCAAATGATTTATTTTGAGCAGAATCCTGGGAAAATTGGATATGTTACTTACTTTTTTGACGCAATATAGCTTTTTGGTTTCCCCAATAAATAGATGTTAATAAACTATAATATAACAGTAATATGTAATAAACATAATTACTATCAGTGTACAGCGCGTGTTCAAATTGAATTATTTGAGACTGTTTGGCTTAATCTTAGCATCCAAATCGATTAAATCAGATTATAATGGAATTTGTTGCAAGCCAACTCCCATAGTTGTACCAAGCGATGTGACTAGCTTAACTCCCGCAGGCAGATAGCATATTTTTTACTAAAATACTTAACTAGCACGACATACTAAATAAACCCACCCCGCCTATATCAATGACAAAAAATCATGTCAGTAAGTCACTATCTACGATTAAGACGTACAATTACACCTCATGCCTCAAAGTGTGTGGCGATATACACATTGTGAGGTCTATGGGCTTCGGCAACCCCTCCACACCAGGTAAGCTGTGAACTTGTTTACGCGCAATAAAAACATAAAAGCTAAATAATTTAAAGTCATCAAAATTAAACATTCTTCCTGTTCTCCTTGAAGATCGCAAAGAGCACGGAATTTCATTTGCCAGTTGTGAAAGTTTGCATACTGATCATCAATTACTCGTGACGTTCGAGGTATGATGGGTCACCATGTGCCACGACCTCCGTTGCTTATTTATTATTATTTTAAGCCATTCATAATTATTCCTGGTTATTTGGATTGCATTTATGGCTCGAAGAAAATGAATTAATTGATATGTATATTGATTGCAGTTAGAAATAACAGATTTAATTGTTTCGTTGCGTCCGAGATTATGTTTCTACTTCAGCTGGCTACCAGAACCTATAGAGATCGCAACGGAAAATGTCGCCTTTCACCTTGTAATATGAGGTTACTTAATTGTATAATACATATAGCGTATCACAAGATACGGTAGACTAGTAAATAAGAAATTATATAACCATTATTATATACTTATCGAAATACAGGATTTTATCCTCTTTTTATTGCTTGTGTGTTAGGTAAAGTGGCTACCGGAGACCTCAACAATGTAAATGGCGCAACCCACGTTAAAACATGGGTTCTAAGTCACAGTTCTATAGTACATATAATGGCTGCCATGATCTTTCAAATGAATGT